CATACAGGCTGTATACATGCATAAAGGACATCACACTGGAACCAACCAAGTATTTATCAATAATGGACGTGTACCCAGTTCTGTGCCAGCTATTGTAGGGGTTATAAAAAGTACTGTGAGACATGGTGTCGGCCTTCAGGGATCTTACCTAGTTAAGAGAGAAAATAACATGGGGCAACCAGAAGATAAACCTCATCCTAGTCATTATTTGTACGCCTGAGATTTAAGATATATAAGGGATAAATGAAGACTCAAAAGAGCATTTTACAGCTGTGGAATAGCTATGACATAACATGCATGCATATATACAGCCTTATGTAAAAGGTTTTAGCTGACATTTGAGTGATTCAGTAGTGTGATATGGCCCCTACAAAAGTGACTGAAATTTTCAGCTGTAGTAATTGAAGTGTAATATAGAGAATGACAAAAATGAGCACAAAGTAGGGTAGCCAGTCTTATTTTGCCAAATAAGAACACTAAACAATATCAGCTACCAACTACTAATACATTTCATACAAGAAAGGTGATTTTTAAAAAGTGCTCCAGGAGTAGGAAGAACATGATCTTCTAATAGTCCTTTACATTAAATACATTTAGCTGAAATAAAAGGCACTAGGTGCCCTTATTTTCTTTAGTTCAAGCCAGAATCGTGAACATTTTCATTAAAGAACCACTGGGCTAACGGACCTGAGATTGTGACTGGTCTTTCTGGTCCCTGCTGTGGCTTTGCCCCCTGCCTTTAATTGCTTTATTATTGCTCCCTGAACCCTGAGCACATCTTCTTTATTCAAAGGCTGGGTAGCAGGTAGTCAAGTCAGGCTTCTTCTGCGATGAAAAGAGTTGAAGGAAGTTATAAAGAGAAAGTGTTGGAGACAAGTATAGCAGCCATTTGAAATGTTTGATTGTTTTGGGCAATCTCTAAATTGGTGAATGGAAAGGGCATTCCACCTTGCCCCAACTTAGAGAAGGGATATGCCATGGTCCTTGCTTTTCCATGCCTACCCTCTCATCATTTGTGTCATGTTTTACTATCAGTTGTAATCTTAAAATATGGGCATAGCTGAAAATGTTGATAAGGTAGTATTTAGTACTCAAGACTTATCTCAAGCTGCAGCTGGTAATTGAATTGCTTATTGCTACTTTGCTTTTTAGAATTATTTTCAACAGTTTTCCTCCAAAAGAGTTTTCTACTGCAGACTCTGTCAGATGGACTGGCTGATCATACTATGTTTGAAAGGAAGTTTCCATAATTATTTTTCTGGCCTCTAAAACATTTGTCTGCATGTTAGCTATCCTCTGTGGAAAATTGTTCTGTGCTTAGTTACAGAGAATTCCTTATGTGGAAACGAAACAAAACCTTGTCTTCCATAAAAAGAGACTGTGATTCAATGGTGCTAACCCCAGATTGGGCAGTAGGGGAGGTGGGCAGTAAGTATTATCTGTTAAAATGTATATTTGAGTACTTAACTATTCAAAAATGTAATAATGATAATAGCTAATAGTTGAACTAGGTGCCGGGTACTTTTCTAAGTGTTTTACATATATTATTTAATTTTCACAACAACCCTATAATATAGTATTTATTATTATTCCCATTTTACAGTTCAGAAAACTCAGGCACACAGTGGTTAAATAACTTGCCCAAGGTCACAGAACTAATAAGTGGTGGTGTCAGGATTTAAACCTAGGCAAGTCTGACTTTAGAGTCTTCATTCCTGACTGTAAACCACTTGAAGTTGCTTTTGAAATTCAATAGTATGCATACCATGAAGATCTGAAAAAGGAATATTTAAAAGAAATCTGAGAATCCATCCTCAGAAAATAGATTGCTTCCAGCTGGACCAGGACTTAGTAGGCAATGCCTAGAGTAGTAGTTCTTAAAGCGTGGAAGCATCAGCATTATTTGCAAATTTGCAAATTCTCACGCCAGACCCAGACCACCAATCAAAAACTCTGAGGGTAAGGCCCAGCAGTCAATGTTTTAATCTGCCTTCTAGATGATTCTGGTGCACATTGAAATTTGAAAACCACTGATTTAGAAGGCAGAACTGTGGAAAAAATAAAATCCAAGAGGGAAATAGCTGGGAGTGGCCGGAAAAAAAGGCTGAAAATATTGAGGGTGACAGGTCTAATGGGGGTGGGATGGGGAAGGAGGTGAGGGGGATGGGGAGTAGTATACATTGTTAAAGAACCCAAACATCAAAGAAAAACAATATTTGTATGTATGTGCTTTAAAAGGCCAGGGAAAAGGAGATTCATTAGATGGATATATGTTAAATGTCAGAGAGAGGAGAGACATCATCCATATTGCCGTCATTCCTCTGGGAACCAGAAGGAAGGTGAAAATGTGCTTAACTTACCCTGGGCCTAGTGGGGGGAGGTTGTGTGTAGCTGGAAGGTAGCTAGATGAAATAAAACCCTAAAATTTAGTGGAGAGATGAGAGGACTAAGAATATGAGAGGGTAGTGGTGTCAGTCTGCCTTGCACCTGAATCAAGCTAACTGAATACCATGAACTGCTTTTATGAGATGCCTCAGCCTATATAATTTAAAGTCCAGGCTCCTTCACTTGTAATTGTCTAGTTGGATGTCTAAGTTGGGTGTGCTGGATGGAATGAAACCTCTTCTTTGGGTGGGGATGGGAATAACATTAAAGAAACTAGAGAACGTGAAGGGCACAGGTTGATATTTGAGTGAATCGAACACTTACCTCTACAGAATGGCAGTAAAGAACACATTCATGATCATCACATAAAACAGGAGCCTTCATTTTTTGTCATTCCACCTGGTAGGGTTTTTTCTCTACATTTGTTTTATTTGCAAATTTTGTTGATATAAATTATGTGATCATACACTAACAGATGCTCCTCACTCTTGTGCCTTGTTCTGATTTGTGTTTACTTTTAGCACCAGAAAAGTGCCACTGTAAGCCATGAGATGTCTGGTCTGAATTGGAAACCCTTCGTATATGGCGGCCTTGCCTCTATTGTTGCTGAGTTTGGTAAGAAAGTGAAAACTGAGAAACCTGCTCCTTAGGGTATAGATATGGTAGTGTTATTTGTTTTTTGTTTTTTTTTGCGGTACGTGGGCCTCTCACTGTTGTGGCCTCTCCCGTTGCGGAGCACAGGCTCCGGACGCGTAGGCTCAGTGGCCATGGCTCACGGGCCCAGCCGCTCCGCGGCATGTGGGACCTTCCCAGACTGGGGCACGAACCCGCGTCCCCTGCATCGGCAGGCGGACTCTCAACCACTGCGCCACCAGGGAAGCCCGCTTGCCCTATTTAAAAAAAAAAATTTATCATAAGAAAGTAATGTACTTTAAAAAAATATATTTATTTATTTATTTGGCTGCACCGGGCCTTCGTTGGAGCACGCAGGACCTTCGTTGCCGCGTGCTGGATCTTTGTGCAGCATGTGGGATCTTTAGTTGTGGCATGCAGGATCTTTTAGTTGCAGCATGCAGGATCTAGTTCCCTGACCAGGGGTCGAACCTGGGCCCCCTGCATTGGGAGCGCAGAGTCTCAACCACTGGACCATCAGGGAAGTCCCGCCCTATTTGTTTTAAAAACTGTTGTCTCAAAGCTATCAAGTAATATTTTCTTTATATATGGAATCTAAAAAAAAATGGTTCTGATGAACCTAGGGGCAGGACAGGAATAAAGACGCAGATGTAGAGAATGGACTTGAGGACTCGGGGAGGGGGAAGTGTAAGCTGGGATGAAGTGAGAGAGTGGCATGGACATATATACACTACCAAATGTCAAGTAGATAGCTAGTGGGAAGCAGCCTCAGAGCACAGGGAGATCAGCTCTGT